CCCCCCCTCACGGACAAAGACGACGGACATGGCGCCATAAACCATGGGCGCTTCCACTCCGTACGTAGACAAGGCGAGAAGGAGGCGCAAGACTGCCACTCGGACGACTCTCACGACACTGCATCGCCATCGTCTCCGCCGTCGCCGTCGACATGTCTTGTCCCCCTCCAGTCCACCCTCGCCGCCACGTCAAGGTCCGCCAAACCGACATTGTGGTTGAAGCGTACTCTGTACGCCGCCCACTCCAGGATATTGTTGGGAAACGCACCCAACGTCAAGGGTGGCTTCCCAAGGTGAAACAAAATAGGATTCGCGAAATTAACAATATGCCTGCGCCAGTTGAATGCATGTGACTCTGCCCCCAACAGCGTGGGCTTCCCGATGAGCTGCGAATAGTAGGATGGCTCCTCGTGGGACCAGACGTCGTCGCCACCCATATGCATGATCCACATGCACCCAGCGAGAGGGAGGCAAAAGGTATCCCCGATTCTGTTCAACCTTGATTAGGACATCTTCTCATTTTCCAACCACTGGCCGCCACCGAGCTCGTTGTCGAAGCACGAGGCCAAACGGAAGACCATGGACTCCTGATGGGCAGGCATGTCATCGTCCTCCAACAAAAAAGAAAACATGTGTTGCTTTTCTGGTTCGAGCAACGTTTCCTTCGTTAGAGCAACATTCGTGGAAACATTTCTGCCAAAAGCAATAAAGCATTGCCTAAACAACTGTTGCCCAACGTTGTTTGTTGGAAATGATGTTGCTCAACTCGCTCGTAACGTTGGGAGAACTTGCAAGAGCAGTGTTCGAACTTTTTGTGTTGTTTGTACACGGATTTCAGAGAGAGAGAGAGAGAGAGAGCTGTCATGAGAGAGAGGTCATGTGCTTATGATATTTTTCATCGTGGGCCATGTTATGGACGAGGAGCCTCACCACCTTTCCAACCAAGGGATAGCTCGTGTGCTCTTCATACGCGTGCTTAATTAGTTGTTCCTGCGATTTTCCACACCTAATAAGTGGGGTATACTGTTGCTGGTTTAGATGCATTTTGACACATGTAATGCAACCGTTGTGGCACATTTTCAACCACTAAAAAGATTAAATTTTGCATTGTTTTATCAGTGGCCGACAATGACTTTTTTGCGTCTGGTAGTGAAGAACAACAGGGCAGGGGGAGGGGGGAGGCGCATAAAAACAACTTTCAGTTTTTTTTGTTTTTTTTTTTTACTATCTTTTTTAAACTAGCACTACCGTAGACACTAAGACGCTAAGTCCCAAAAGTAGCCCCATCCGAAAAAGTCGGGTGTGACAGGAGGGTTGCAGATAGGAAAAAAATAAAATGTCGGATCGAAAGCCACGAAAACTCCAAGAAAAAAACTAAGAACTTCAAATCCAGCGACGTCCAGGAACACCCTCACGGAGGTGGAAGTCACACCAATGCTTCGAGGAATGTATTTAGCAACTATGTGGGGAACATAATTGTTCTTTTTTTTTTTCCTCCCTTTTCATCTCATTGTAGTGCCCGACCACCTCCGCAGGGGGTATTCCACACAGGGCACCACTCACCTCATACTTGCATCAGTACTGTAACGTCTTCTATCGGACCGCGATCACAGCATAAGGGATGCTTTATTTTTTGTTGGGGCAATTTAAATAGAGTCACGAAAACGGTTTATAATTGCACTATGGGGCAAGATACAGTTTGCAATTGCACTTCGGACACCGTACTTGGTCAGGAAGCATAGTTGTACTTTAATTCGAAATTTTATCGTGGCGGACAGTGCAATTATAAATCATTTTTGTGACTCCCGCGTAGTTTGTCATTTTTTCTTTATATACTGTTCATCGATCAGATGCCCTCACTAAGGGCATAGTCACACAAACTCCTATTATCTTTCTGCCAATTTCTTGGGACCATCCCTCATTCCGACCATCCTAGCAAAGTCTACTACCACCTCTCATCCATTCGGTTGTAATCCTCTGTCCGGAATTGGTGGCTTAGGCAGGCCGTCAAAAATTGAGATGTCGTCGCAGACCTCGACAATCTTCCCCAAGTCTTCCAATCTTTTCTTCTCTTCCCTCAACTTCCACGTGGCTATTTTTCAGCACCTCGCGTAAACACAAAACTCAGCGCGCTCCTAGGTAAGTATATACCTATGTGGTGTACTCCTAGGTCGGGAAAGTATACGGTCATTACATAAAATTGATTCCTGTCCTAGCCGCTGTTTGCTACCTGGTACCTGACTACCTCATAGGGGAAGATCTCCCGTCTGCTAATTGCGCTCAGGCCTTGCAGTACTTTCGCGTGTTCAGGATCACGGGGATCCGCTCCTTCCCACAAACTTCCGTCTCCTTCGCGCTAACTCCTCCTCAGGTAGGCTCATCTCTCGCGCAACATTTACAAGTCGCCTAACATTCTAAGTCAGCTAAAGCAAGCGCTGCTAACATCCTATCTGCGGATGCTCGTAGGACCAGATAGAAAGCTTCAAAGTCGTCGTTGTCTCCAAAATCCTCTATGTCTTCTAGAGTCTTAATAAACTCCTTCCAATACCAGCTGTGTGTCGAGAGTATCCTGAGAATAGCGTCGTCAACTATCACTCTTGCTAACTCTCATAACCTCATGACCTCCCTTTCTAGGATTCTCTCAGTCTCTCTCGGTGTCTCGTGCCACGACCTAGACAAGGGTGACCCATCGAAAGGAGTCACACACAATATGTATCATATCAGACGGCCATTTTCAACTCGTACCCAGAGCCCGGTCACTCGTGCCTCTCTCACCGCTTGCGAAGTACATTCTGCCTCCTCGATCACATCGAGTCTCGCTAGGTGCTCCACTTGCATTATCACACAGGCCACCAACCCATCTAACTTCCCCACGACATGTAAGGAAAACTTATCATTGGAATACTCAGTCGTACCGGTCATTGTCCCCTATCATCGTTCTGATGCTCCTTCCTCACTTTCCTTTTCTTTCTGATTGGTAGCCTCTGCCGACTCCTCCAACCATCCTGTCGACCCTGATGACTGTCCTGTTTCCCTGCCGTTACGATCTCTCGTCTTCACGTCTTCCATGAGATATAATCGCCACCTCCTGAAGAACTCTCTGTCTTCTCTAAAGAGACTCTCTAGTCCCTTCGATATTGCTTCTATTTTACGCAGTTCCTTCTCATTTTTGTTGGCTTCGCAATCCCGAATCCTGTTGCCCAGCTCCTTGACTCACTTCAAAACTGATTCTATACGTGCTCCTTAACTCTCTTCACCCTCTCGTCTACATTTTTCATTCTCAACTGCCAATCCTTTCCTAAATTCCGAGGACCTTTCACATCTTACCCCGAGCTTCCGTCGACGTCTCGTCTCGAACAATCTCTATACGTACAATCCCCTTTACACAGATAACCACTTCATATATCATCCACCTTTATGTGGTTATCTCCCTCAATGCTCCTAACCTCTGCTCTCGTATGACATCCTCCGCAAGTTCTCTGTACTCGTTGTCCGACAGCTCCTCATTTATACTCACCCTCAGGAGAATCTGTAGCGTTTCGTCATCGCTTGCTAAGCGTCTAGAAACTGCTCGTGCGTACGGCAACCGCTGCAAGGAAGGTTCATATTGCCCGCCTACAGGCTGTCGGCTTGTCACTACCCTGTGAGCGATCACTCGCGGATTCCTATCATCCACACTCCTCCAAGAATCGGAACCTCTGCGGTCCCACCGGAGAGAGTACGAAGCTCGGGGTGTATGTCGGTACAGTGCTGGCTCACGCTCTGTCATGTACTTGCAACCCGTCTCATACCCTGCTCCTTGCCTCTGCTACTGTCTCATCAAAGAACAACTCTGCGCGTAGGTATCCGTTTGACCATACCATCACCTCGTACGTCACCTTCGTCTGAAATGTCACGCAGGCGAGGACCCCTGCCCGGTGTTCGTCGATAAGCTCTCTAACCTGTTGCAGACACTCTCGCTCTGTCAAGTTCTCTTCTATGTGCGCTCTGAGTAAGACAGTGACAGTGAAGATCGTTCATTAATTGTCCGCACACTTCGATCCCTGCGGACGTCCGACCTGTCATACCTACTATCGTTGGTCCCCAAACAAATACCTCAGCTCCTCCAAGCCAATGTACTTGTCCTCTATGCGTCTTCGACATTAGTCGATCAGATCGACCGGCCTCAAACAGTCTACCCAGCAAGTGGCGTCAATCAACTCTCTCAACTCCTCATTGTCAAAGTGTCTC